AAAAAAAAATACTGGATTTAATTTCAGTTACTTTCAGTTTCTATTCAAATCAAGAATAACTGACCCTTAACCGGGACACTTGCTTAGTCGAGACAGCAAGATTCCTATGGCGTGAAATTATTAGTGCTTTGTCTCCAGTTGGCCGGTGATAACTAGTTTACATCTCCGAGCAAAAATGAATTTTCGGTAGCTTATGTTATTGCTGGTTTCAGGTGACTAGTATTTCTATAAAAGATCATTAGGGGGTTGAGATGAATCGGTATCTTTAACGTTCACACAAGAAACCGGTTGCCATTTAAATTCACTCATCCGGTTAAGATTTTAAAGGTTTTTCTCCTTACTTTCAGCTTACGAGTAAAACCTGCCAATAAACATATAAAGAAAATTCTAAACGAAAGGTCATGAACTCGATTTCATTATAAAGAACATGTTTTTATACCAATAATAGCGAATAGAACAAAAATCTCCGCTAACTAGTGCTAAAACTCGACTGCAGTTCTCAGTTTCGTTGAAGCGAAGAAAACCTTTTAATAGTTCTATTTTACTTAAGACTAAAAGAAACCAAATCAAATGTTTCTGAACATACCTCTAGATGATTATGAGTTGAAAAACCCGCTGACAAAAACGCATTTTGCAGGAGAATTTAAGCCATATTGGCCGCTACCCAGAAGGGTTAACGCTTCGGACGAACAAGTCTGGTGATAAACTAATTAAGTATGGAAAATGAGATCATCAAATTATTATTGGTGATTATCGAGAAGTCGAGAATAAAGCGAATCATTGATCCGTATGTTAGGGTACTGAGAATCTCTTACGGCAGAGTTCGATCCCCGGCGGGGGAGGGTACTCCCTTATATGGGCTATATAATGCTATGTGCGGCCCCAAAGGGTAGGGTTTTTCAGCCGTTTTGGTCATAAACAGGGTAGGAAAAATCGCAGATTTTGGTCATAAATAGGGTACGGGTTTTGGGAAGTGGGCCGCACACCCCCAACCAGCTGAAAAGGACCTAGGGCCTCGGATGCAATAGTTGCTTACCAAAAGACTGTCGTATATAAGTATACCGTATTTTCTTGATTAAACGCCCCAGGCGTTTATTTATTCGAGCCTGGAGTTTATGAGAGTTTTTATTCAATGTTTTTAGAGCTTTAAAATATCTTATAATTATACCTAAAGCTTA